GCAAATTTCTGGGCACTCTAGTGTTCAATCATCTTTCACCTTCAAGTCACGAATGGCGGGTCCGCCAATCTAACTCTTCAGGTTTAAGAAGATTGAATAGGGGCAGATGTTGTACCCCAAAATTTTACCTCTCATTTATCAAATATTTTCTCACAAAGACCTCTCTTGGTTCAAGACTGCACTAGGGTTGATCAGCTCAAGACACCTCCTTAAGCACTAATGACCAAAATTAGGGTTTGAGGTTGCACAAGGATATTTGAACTTTAAATGCTTCACATGAATTTCATGGATCATTATGGACCCTCAAGATTACTCATGTCAAGTTTCAAGCTTTGGATCACACTTTTGCTAAGTCAATTAAGCAATTGACCTAAAAATCAGTTGTATTTGGAAAAAAGTCAACTATGGCCAATTTACAATCAAACTTCATAATTTTTTATCCAAATCAACATTATAAACTCATATTTATCATTTGATTAAGTTTGGACCACAATTCCTCAAATCATCAAAAGGGCAAAATGGTCAAAATTAGGGTTTTAACTAAAAGAGGGCAATTTCTGATGTTTGACCTAGCAAATGGTCAATTAGTTTGAAGCATGATTTCAAGAGTTTCAATTGCATTATTTTGAACTAATGGCATAACCTAAAACATTGCTCAAGATCAATTAGACTGATAGTGAATTTTCAGTCAACTGATCAAAAAGTCAACTGTACACTAAAAAGTCAAACTTTGACTTTTTGGCCAAAGTTCAATTTCAAAGATCACGATTCATCAAAACATGTCAAAATATGAAACTTATTCATCAAGAAATCAAAAAGTCAAGATTTCATTTTGAAAAGTCAAAGTTTGCTAACATAGAAAATTTTCTAAGTGTTTAAACTTCATGTTTTTTTCATAACTTTGGGCCAATTTTTCACCATGATGCAAGAGGATTCAGAAGAAACTTTCAACATAAAATTTGTATATCTCCATGATATATACAACATTTCTTTACACAAATTCTTCTAAAAGTGCTTGGATCTCAAGATATTAATTCCTAAAGTCATGGTCTTGAAATTGGACACAGTGAAATTTTGCCCTAGTTTTGGTAAGGATTTTGACCTAACTTCATGACACTTTTTCATATAGTTCCAAGGGGAATTTTCATAAGTGATTCAAAGAGGGGTTGTAGAGAATATTAAAAGCTTTCCAAAGTGTCCCAGAACTCCTTGAGATCATTCTTGAGCAGGGAGAGTCGAAGAGATGAAGTTAGGGTTTTCACACTTGAAATACAAGTCATATTGTGATGAACAAGATTCAAATTTCAAACTTATGCTGCATAATCTCTACTTTACAGGCCTCAAACTTGTTAGGAACTCCATAATTAATTTCTTGCACGGCTGTTAGAGGTCTCAATTCAAGCATTCAATGCAAGGCCATGCTTTATATCCATTTTGGGTAGAAAGTGCACAATACCATTTTGATAAAGTAGCTTTTTGCACAAAACTTGTTCTTGAGCCTTGCAATTGTTTTCTTCTGATCATACATGTCCTATAACTCAAGAGAAGTTTGTCTAAACACTTACAATCACTCAGCCCATGCTTGTACTTCCTCTTGGAACCATATTTCCCACGTTTCTTCAAAATCAAGTAACATAGCAATCAGTCTAGAACGGGTACTTCTGACCCTCTCAAGCACTCAAGCCTTTTGCTTATACATACATAAGTAATTTGTCACAAAACACACTCATGCTTGAGCCTTGAAAACACTAAGAACTCATATTTGCATCTCACACTTCCATCTTCACATAACCTGACCAAAAGTTTAAAACTCATAACTCCCTCGTGCATTTTCAAGCCTCTTTGTTCCCAAAGCTTCTAAACATCATTTAGAAGTCATCCCTCATCCTGTTACAGTTCTGTAACACCTCCATCACAATCCTCCATTTCCAAAACAGAGGTCTGCATCTTGACTTCTCCAGGCTAGTTCAAGCACTTACAACTCAAAGTAACCATTGCATTAGCTTCCTGGGAACTCAGTGGAGCTATTCTGATCATCACAACACCTTGAGGAGTGCTCATTTGCAGAACACAGCTTCCAGTTTTGAGGTAAGTTATCTCAACTTTGAACTATTCATACAAGAATCATTAATGTTCAATTTGTGAGTGAAAAATATAGACATCATTGTTCTGAAGCTAACCATGTCTTTAGATTTCATTTATATTACTTGAGTAGTTAGAATTTTGAATCTGGACATCCTAAAAAAATTAGGTCAGGATTTGGTACCATTCAAAATTCATGCTCATTCTTGAGAATTAGTTTAAGTTGTTTACATTTCTGAAATCGTGGTAAAATTTTACACAAGTTTCATGTTTACTTTGTTGCAAATGGTTGAGAAATGAACAAGTTACATGTGGTATGGCTGGAGGTTGAAGATGAAGTGTAATAAGGGTGCGCTTATGTTATATATTTAAGGGCGCGCTAAAATTTAATAAAGAAATATTTTATAGTATTCTAAACACGTATGAAAAGTATTATTTAAAAATTTAAAAGTTTAAGGGTAATTAAACAATTTTTATAATTTTAGAAAATAACAGGGACTAAAACTGGATGAACAAAAAAATTTCAGGGACCAAAATTTATCATTTTTTTAATAGGGATTAAAAATTAAATTTGAGATATTTATAAGGATCAAAAACATATTTAACCCTAAATTTTAGAATTAACTCATTTGGATTCAACTGGAGTTTGTTAACTCATATGGATTCACGGGTAGATGTGAATGTATCTATGAGATACTAGTTGTAGGGATGTTCATTATAATGTCCATCTCTAATTTTTTTGTTGTTGTTTATATAATTGAAGTTAGAGTACGATTTATTATAAGTACGAATACCACTACAAGAAATAATGTTTTTAGCTAGGGGATTTTGTGAGGTGATTCACCCCTCACTAAATTTCGAGGTTACTTGGAGATTAACTCCTCGCTAAATCCAAATCAGAAGTCAGAATTTAAAAAACATATGGTGTGGGGAAGTCCCTCGCAATATAAATGGAGGGAGTTTCAAATTTCAAAAATTTATTCCCACTTTTCATTTTGCAAGGGGGTATAACGTCATCAAAAAGTGTTCGTAGCATAAGCATTGGGGACCCCCTCGCAAATCTGATGTATTGTCACTTCAGTTACTTCGTATACATGCTTTAGAAAAGGACGTTTACATTTTGCGAGGGGGAATACCCCAAGCTAATTAGTGAGGTGGGAAGCCCCTCGCCATTTGAATTATATATATCCCATACAACTTTCGTTTTTCTCTCACAAAATTTCTTTCTTCCATTTTTCTCTTCTTCTCTACCACTCTTTCTCATTTTTCTCTTCTTCTCTAAATCTTTCGTCCATCCTTTATAATTCTACAATAAAATTTCATCTTTTGAAGGTAACAATCTTTCCTTGTATATTTTTTTTATGTCTAATTTATATTGTTTAGTTTATATAATATATTTATTTTAGATTTTAATTTTCGTTTTTTTGATTTTAAGTTCCATTATTATCATCTAAAGTTAAGGAGTTCAAACTAAAAATGTTCATCTTCAAGATACATTTTAAAATATATATATATATATATATATATATATATATATATATATATATATATATATATATATATATATATATATATATATATATATATATATATATATATATATATATATATATATATATATATATATATATATATATATATATATATATATATATATATATATATATATATATATATATATATATATATATATATATATATATATATATATTTTCTATTTTTTTATTTAAATTATAGATATATATTTGTTGAAATAGATATTGCTAATAAATATTAAATATATTTCTGGATAATCATATTTTGTTTAAAATTTGTATTGAGATATTGTTTAAAAAGAGTTAAAAATATTAAATGAAAAAGATATTATTTTAAAAAAAAACCTTTATCTAGAAACAGTATTATTTTATAAAAACATTTATTTAAAAACAATATTATAAAAATAGTATTTAAAAACAGTATTTATTGTGTAAAAAAACATTTTTTTTAAAAACAGTATGAAATTTACTAAAAACAGTATTATAGTTTTTTTAAAATAATATTATAAAAATAGTTTAAAAATAATAATTTGAAAACAGTTTAAATATTTTATTTAAGAAAACTATATAAAAATTATATTAAGTTTTTAAAAAGCAGTCTAAAAAAATTATATAAATTTATGTTATTTAAATTTATTTATACAAAATATAAAATATATGATTTAAGTATTTTTTTTTTTAAATTTTCAGGCAATTTGCGATGGGGTTATCCCCACACAAATGTAAAAATGGAGGTCATTTAGTTATGGGCTTATCCCCAAGCTATTATTTTGACATATTGCATCTATCTGCGCCTAATTTTGTGTGTCTGAATCTCTAAATTTGTTTTTGTATTTTGCGAGGGGGAATGCTCCAAGCTAATTAGTGAGGTGGGAAGTCTCATGCAAAATATTTGCGATCAGCTGTTTAGCTAGGTGGCTTGTCCCCTCGCAAATTTTAATTTTGTGAGAGAATTTTTACAGTTATGAGGGGAAAACCCCTAGCTAAAAACTATTTTTCTTGTAGTGTGCATGCTTAAAAGTTGATGTATATTATTAGTCTATATTTATAATTATGTAAATATCAACCAATTGAATAATAAAATTTATATTTTATAAATAATGATCTTATAGACGTGTAATATAAATCTAGACGGAACCGTAAGATAGCTTTAATAAGAAATAATTTGAAGTGTCTGCCAAAGAAAAGATTTATTAGTATTTAATTAGATTTTGTTTTGTGCATTGGAAACAATTGAAAATAATAGAAATGGAAACGAAAGTAAGAAACAACAATTTGAAACTGGAAGGAGAAGCCATCCATGTGATGCAATTGAGGATCAAAAGGACAATTTGATATTTAGCAAAGCATTAAGTTTTCTTATATTGTAAATAATGTAATAATTCAAACACGTTTAAAGGAAATGAGTTTCCATGAGTACTTTGACATCGTATCCAACACAACGGCATCATAGTTGTTAGAGGATGAACCGTCTTTGGCAGAAAGAGTGAGGCGGTATGTTTGGGTCTCCATCCTCGGGAGCAATTGTGATTCACCCTTGATAAGTTTCTCAAACTCCAATTTTGCTCCGTTTTGGTCGTTGTACTCGGACACTGCAAAACGAGCTATTGCAATCACGGTTGGATCACTGATGTTCTTTATGGGAGTCCAATCATCTGGTGGTGTAGCTTGATTCATGGTGGCAGAAGCCAACGAAATAAGGAGGAGCAGAATAAGGGATTGAAATTTCATAACGTTGGTTTGGTATTTTTACAAGCTTGAGAAAGTAAGATGGTGTGAGTTAGACGATGTGGTCTGGTATATATATATATATATATATATATATATATATATATATATATATATATATATATATATATATTCATTTAGTTTTATTTTATGAGAATAAACAAAAATTCTTTTTTTTACCAAATAAATAGAGTTTCTTTAATAATATATAATATTTAATAAACCTACAATTAGTTTTATAGAAAAATATGGTGAGAATTATTATATTTAATGTTATTCTAGGAAAATGTATATCTAAAATATTATAAATTATGTTATACTAAAAATGTAATAAATTGTTTCCGTGTTTTTTAAATTTTATTTATAACAAATAGTTTAGCAATATACTTTCTTAATATTGAAAATAAATTAAAAATTAAATATTTTATTTTATTTAATTTTATGAAAATAAATTACAGTTTTTTGACCAAATAAGATAGTTTATATTTTAAATATATTAAATGATTAATGTATTTGATCATATAGTCTATATATATTGAATATTATTTAATATATTTAAAAAAAAGATGTTTCTTATAAGTAAAATTGGACATAATATTTAATAAATCAATAATTAATTTTAAATTCAAGACTCATTTTAATCTCTCATATAAATTAGAGAGATTAAATTAATCTTTAAAGAAAAAAAATCTTTCTTTTAAAATTTAATCTAGTCATATTAGTTTTGTGTTAATATTTTTTCAAATCTATTTTATAAGAGTAGGAGTTTAATTATGCAATACTACTTTAGAGTGTAATTATTTAGAAAAGTTACAAAATTAAAATTTGAGACTTCCACCTCACCTATCTTGATTTAGTTACTGTACATGAATCTCTTCTAATAATTGACAAATCTACTATATCATCCACTTTTGGTTATAAAGTAACATTTGTATCAAATAAAATTTGACTATTCTTATACTTATACTTTTTTTATAACATCAAACACAATATAGAGTGTGCAATAATTAACCTATAAAATATAATTACAACAATAATCAAATGTCATTAAAAAAAATAAGTTTATTGACGTGATTATTACGTCATAACATGTGGTCACAAAATATTTTTTATAATATAATTGAGAGAAACGTATAATAATTTAGTTGCGATGTAATTTTTATGTCACAAAATGAAAATCATGTTACAACTTTTTATATAGATAAACTGACAAAGTAAATTGTTGATTAGAACATGTACTTGTACTTTTGTTGTGACGTAATTTTTATATTATTAGACACAGTAATTTGTGATATATAATAAAATATAAATTAATAATACAATTGTACACAAGTTGTGCCAAATTTGATAATATGCTTTTCTTCTTCTTGGAAATAAATAAAAAATTTCATTTAGTTTTATTTTATGAAAATTAACTAAAATTCTTTTTTATCAAATAAATAAGGTTTCTTTAATAATATATAATATTAATAAACTTACAATTAGTTTTATAGAAAAAAATGGTGAAAAATATTATATTCAATGTTTTTCTAGGAAAATGTAGTCCAAAGTATTATAAATTATGTTATACTAAAAATGTCGTAAAATGTTTCCGTATTTTTAAAATTTTATTTCTAACAAAATTTAGTGCAAGTTGATAATATTCTTTCTTAATATTGAAAATAGATTAAAAGATTTATTTTATTTTATGAAAATAGATTAATTTTTTTTTATTTTATGAACATAAATTAACTTTTTTTACCAAATAAAGTTTAATTGAATAATTAATTTATTTAATTTATATATAATTCATATACATTAATGATTTAATGTATCTAAAAAGTAATATGACTTTTATAAATAAGATCGAATAATATTTAATAAATCAATAATTAATTTTAGAGTAAAAACTCATTTTAGTTTCGGATAAAAATTGAAGAGTTCAAATTAATTTTTAAAAAAATAAATATATCATTTATATAATTTAATCGAATCATATTAATTTTCTATTAATTTTTTTCTCAAATTTATTTATTTTTACTTTTGAACTGTAATTGAATTGTCTATGTATATTATTTTTATTTAGGTGGATTTATTTTTTCATTTTCAATTATTTTTATCTATTTTAATTTTATTCATTATCAAAGAAAATTAAAAAAATAAAATTTTTCACCAAAAAAGAGTTGGACCTAACTTTTTTTCTATTTAGGTGGACCTATTATATTTATTTCCAATTATTTTTTATTTGTTTTAATTTTATTTAATTATCAAAGAAAGTTAAAAATCAAATCTTGTATTAAAGAATTTTTTTCTTATTTTTTATCCTTGACTAGACTGTCTATGTATATTATTTTTATTTCTAATTACTTTTTTATTTATTTTAACTTTACTTAGTTATCAAAGAAAACTAAAAAAATAGCTGTATTGTATTGATTATACCTGAATCAAAAGGATCTTCAGTGGTCTGTAATATTTGGATTTCTATAGTGATGAGGAAAGAAATGGAGGAAGTACCTGAAAGACACTTCGATGTCAAAATAAGATTCATAGTGAAAAGTACAAATATAGAATTAGAGTGAATAAAATAATATATCTGACCTTCTAATAGAAGAGAGTATTTATAATGCCCTCAACACTGGGGCAAAGTCCCCATTTTGAGCTGGATTCCAAGACTCAAAATGAAAGACTGCCAGGATCTTATGTGAGGAGAATAGTGTGTGGTCTCTATTCTGAGTCAACTGCCCCGTGATCCTCATAAGGTAGAAGATCTGTTTTTTCATAGAACAGGATGACTCTGTGAGATCTGGAGAGTCGTTGGCCACATGTCCTCGACGGGCACGTGTAAAATGTTCCTCAACAATCATAATAACTTAATCAATTTTATTAGACTTTCCGTACAGAAGTGTTGGGTTGGACTTGCCCGATAACTAGACAAGTGTAGACCTAATTCACAACATGCACTAGACAAAATTTTATAATAATGACTTTTCCTCTATACAATATTTCACACTTTTTATAAACCATGATATCAAATTTCTTTTCTTGTTCATTCCTATTCTTTGATTTTTTTTTTATTAGCAATAAAAATTATCATGTGTTTCCTAGTTTAATTCTTACCATGTTATGTGGTATTTTGTTTTACTGTTATGCAAAACACAAAAAATCATATTTAATTTATATCCATTGTTAACGCGGTTTTTGTTGACCATGAAAAAACAATACCTTCAAAGATGAGCGAGGACGTGAGTTTATGAGAGAAATTGAATTTAGGATAGATTTTATGTTGGAGCAAAGGATTCAAGAAAGATGAATATTGTGAAAAATAAGAAGAAGATGAGAGAAGAAGAGAGAGAGATTTTTGAGTTAGTTAGTGTAACTAAATCTTAAAACTGAAACTGTTATTATTGTTGTTGCAGTTATGTGGATTACAAAGTAATGGTCCTTTATATAGGCAACATGCCCAGACCCAAATACAAGCTAAAGCCCAAATAACAACTAATAAGAATTAACCAACTAACACCCCCCTTAATTCATGTTATCGAGACTTCTCATCCCAATGCCTTTCTTTAACTCTTCGAATTTCACTTTCTTCAGAGGTTTGGTGAATATGCCAGCTAGTTGCACTCCTGTCTTGCAACGTTCTATTTCAAGCTTCTCTTTGTTTACTTGGTCTCTCAGAAAATGATACCTTCGTTCAATGTGCTTACTTCGACCATGACACATTGGGTGATTCACAAGATTTATTGCTGACTTGTTATCAATAAACAGCTTCATCTTCGATTCCATTATTCTGAGCTCTTCAAGTAGAATTTCGATCCATGCTGCTTGGCATGCATCATATGATGCAACCACATATTCTACTTCGCATGAAGACAAAGCCACAGTGCTTTGCTTCCTTAAACTACAGGATATTGGAGCTCCTTCGATCATGAAAATCTATCCTGCAGTACTCTTCTTTTCATCTTATCTCCACTGAAATCTGAGTCAGTGTATCCATGAAGTTCGGCCTCTGTACTGTTCTTCGATCCTTTTGACAACAACACACCATGATCAACAGTTCCCTTGATGTATCTCAACACACTCTTTACTGCAATGAGATGACATTCCCGAGGCTTCTCCATAAATCTGCTCAACAATCCTACACTGGTAAATATCTGGTCTAGTATTACAAAGATACCTCAATGATCTAATAATTTGTTTGTAAAGGGTCGAACTTACAAACTCATCATTCGATTCCTTCTTCAGCTTTGCTCCAGTCTCTAATAGAGTAACAGCTGCCTTACAGTTGTTCATATTAAACCTCTTCAATATATCTTGAGAATACTTCGTTTGATGCAAGAAAACTCCTCCTTCAATTTCTTTGAATTCCATTCCCAAGAAGTAGGAAAGATTCCCTAAATCAGACATTTCGAATTCCTGCATTAACTTTGACTTTACCTTCATTATCTCAGCTTCATCTTCTCCTGTAATGAGTAAGTCATCAATATAGAGACATAAAATGATTCGATTGGCACTTTTGACATCATTTACATACACTCCATGTTCAGAGACACACTTTGTGAACCCTGCTTCGATTAGGAATCTATCTATTCTTTTATTCCAAGCTATAGGAGCTTGCTTCAAGCCATGGAGAGCCTTCCTCAATCTATAAACCTTCGACTCCTGCCCTTTGACGTCGAAGCCTGGTGGTTGAGTGACATAGACTTCTTCTTCTTCCAGAGACCCATTAAAAAATTCTGACTTCACATCAAGTTGGTGCATTTTCCATCCTCTATATGCAGCTATCAAAACAACAATTCTGATTGTTTCGATCCTAGCAACAGGCACATACACTTCATCAAAGTCAATACCTGGTTGTTGTAGAAAACCTCTGGCCACCAGCCTTGCCTTGTACTTTGCAATCTTACCATCTGGCCTTCATTTCACCTTGTAGATCCATTTCACATCAATTGGTTTCTTGTTGGTTATTTTAACAAGTTCCCAAGTGTTGTTCTTCTCAATGGCTCTAAGTTCTTCTTTCATGG